ATCTCCTGTCAGGGTTAATTTTTTGTGAAAACGTAAATATTGTCATCTTCTTCGTTCTTCTTGTACACTTCTTCCCTACGAAAATGTGAAACTGCCGCAACTCACAATTCAAGTCACTGTTCACATCGTTCTTTGCACTGTCGTCATCATTGTTCACATTGTTCTTCTTCATTTTTCCTCGCGCACATTTTAATCCGATCAAATTGGGCTTTCGTCGTCGTGGTTAGAGCTATGTTCTTCTTTCTTTGTTTTTGCGTTTTTTTATTATTTCAGATGATCAGACTTACTTTTTTTGTATTTGTGTTAGGTATTGTGTTTTTGCTGTGAAATTTGTTTCGTTCTAGAACGCGAGTAGTCGCATCTTTTCTGTTGTTGACTACTTTTTCACGCTTCCAAGTTCCTATTAATTTGGTTATTCAATTTTCTTTTGTTAATTTTTTTGTATGTTAGATATATGTAATTATGTATGATTGAATGAGATAAGATCAAAAATTAAATACGAATTGGATCAAATTGATCATTCAAGATTATTTAAATATTGTAAACAATTTCAGTATATTTACGTATGGATCGAGATTGGATTAATTTGCCATGCATCAGTGCTAAGTACGAGAGAAAGGTAGAAAAATTTATATAATTTGGGCATCGTAATGAGGATAAAAGTGATGATGAAGTGAAGTTTAGATGTCCTTGTGTCAACTATTTTGCTCATTGCACAAGTCACCTCCCAAACATCTTAGATGAGTAATAAATTAGTAAGAACCTCAATGTTTGGGCTTTCTTTATTATAATAATGTATCCTAAAGTTTTTTTTCATAGTTTCCTTGCAAAACATATGATGTTGTCCGAGAAATCAACTTCTAAGACTAAAAAGTTTGCATGGTTGGCTATCAATGTTTGATATTTTGGTCAATACTTTCTTATAATTGTTTTATTTTAATAATCTTTATTAACTATTTATATCTATGATTATAAATTGTAGTATAATAGACAAATTGACTCATATGTGTGCAATTATTACGTAATGTTTTAGATTACACACAATGTTCGTGCCCATATTACAAGTGGATGAGAAACAGTAATATTTGGATAATGTATTTTGTTTTTCTCCATCATTTGGAATTCATATACACTAATTAAAATCAAGTATCTTGTGCAGAGATTCAAGTCTTCTGTTCCAATTCCAGAGATATCCCTTCTTTTCCTACGAAAAGCACTTGCAAAACATATAATAAAATTATACAATAGTGCATAGTTAGTAGGAATTAATAACATATACATTGATATATTTTAGTTGAGTTGATTTATAGATATTAGACTTTTTACATTATGTTTTAAGTATTATGTGTTGTAAATATTATAGTTGAGTTGATTTTGTGTTGTAAATATTATGTTTTTTATATGCAGGTCTATTTTTGTAATAAGGGATGTCGCAGAAACATACCTATTATTAAGAAAAACGCAAACTTTAGGCAGCGATTGTAGTAAAAATCGAGGTAGAAAAGGATTTATGGCCTCGTTTAAGGCCACAACCATTGCCATAAAATGCGCCAAATTTAAAAAAAAAATTTAAGAAGCTATTGCCTTGGTTCTTGCTTGAACCGCTGCCAAAATTACCTCGTTTAAGAACCCCACTTATTACCTCGGTTGAACTAAGGCCAAAATCCCTCCTCGTTTTTTTTTCTGGTTTACTACTTTGGATTTTGAGGAACCAAAACAGAAACCCTCCATTTATTACCTCGATTGAAACCGAGGTAAATAATCCACCTTATTTATTTCGTGAGTATATACTTCAATTCAAAAATCGCTATATATTAAAAAATAACCATGTGATTTTCTTTCGGACACTAGTATAGTGGTAACGAGGGATGTGATGTGATAGTTGGTGGTGGTTTTCCATGTGTAATTATATGTCTATCTTCATGCCTTTTTTTTTTATTTTCTTCATTGATGTTGCAATGGTCTCTTTGTGTCATTCAATATATGGTAACAAATATTTTTTGCATAAGTGTCATTCATTTATGCATAATCGGTAATATAAGTTTGAGTATGAAATAAATTATGTAAAAGATTAATATAGTCACTTTGTGCATTCAAAATGATTCATGTTTTATAAATTTTAAATATTAATATACAGGTTAGAGGTATGAATAAGAGCATAGTAAATTAAAGGAAAAAAAAGCGTCTGACGGTTCAGTACATTATAAACTAATTTCAAAGTAGAAGTACACAACGGATATTATTATCAACAAAAAATAATTTTTTTATTGACAAATGTCAATTGCTAGTGAAAAAAATTAAATCTACAACTTCTTTTCATTTTTTCTTTTAATTCTATCATTATATGAACTTTATATCTTCAACAAATACCTTATTTTGAATGCAATATTTCACCCAATCTTACTCAAATATGATTTTCTATTTAGTACTAGACACTGAGCCACTAAAGGTTAATTCTTTCAAATATTTCAGCACTCATTGAAATGATGAGGAGTTGTAATGTTGTTTTGTGAGTTTACTTTTTGTACCCCGTTTTAGCTTTGAGCCCTTTCGTATCTTTAGGCCCATTTATTTTTCTGTTTCAAATGTGGGCATTTTTTTCCTCCATCTCTAACCATTTCTCATTACACTTTCAAATTTTAACCATTTCTCTTTACACTTTCAATTTATTTTTTTAAATTTCAAAACTATTTTCTGTAATTCAAAAAATTTTATACCTTCATCTTTTTTTTTTCAAAAGACTTTAAAATTTGTTGAAAGATTTTAAAATTTGTTGAAAGATTTTCTTAGACGTTAACGAATTTTGAAATTTGTTGAAAATATTTTTCTTTAACGAATTTTAAAATTCATTGAAGGATTTTTCTTACATCAAAATTCAAATATGTTAAAAGATTTTTCAAAGACTTTAACGAATTTCAAAATTTATTAAAATATTTTTCAAAATCTTAGGATTTCAAAATCGGTTAATTTTTTCTTAAAATTTTAACTAATTTTAAAATTTGTTGAAAAAAAAAATCTTTGGATGAATTTCCAAATCCATGAAAACAAACGTAACCTCAAATCATTTTCGAAAATTGAAAGTGCGTGAAGAGACGTTTGAAATTGTAGGATAAGAAACAACTTTCAAATATATTCAAATGTCATCAAATTTTAATTTCTCGTAATATTTTTAACTTTTTCGTATTTACCAAGTCTGCTTAATTTAATTGTTATATTTTATTGTCTTAAAGAAAAACTAATAAAACAGACACGTGTTTTAAATGGCAAATTAATCAATTTTATTGATGTTTTCTTCGTCACTTTGTTAAGATTCTTTTAGTGTGTGGCTAATGACCTTTTAGAAGCTATGCAAGTTATGACGAAGCATGCTCTTACGTATGTAAGATGCGTAATCCAAGTTTTGCTAGCAATTTTTATCTCTTGATAGTGAGGAGCACATAAACGGGTCCAAAACAATTATAAAACTAATAAAAGGTAAATGGTAAAAATAGTATAACCTCTCATAATTTAAATTATAAAAACAATTATAAAACTAATAAAAGGTAAATTTAAAGAAAAAAATTATAATCATTTACCCAGGTGACGACCTCTGACATGTTCAACATGAAGTCGTGTGCACTCTGCGTAATTTATTTTAAATCTGTCCATTTTGATAATTTTTGTACCAAAAATACACCATTTCAGTGGAAAAAAACCTACATTCTTTCATTCATGCTGTTGATTCTCTGTGTGCAGTCGTATAGTCTAGATGGCAGGATTGTAACAAAAGGGAATTCAATAAATAAACAGACAATGAAAAACAAAAGGATGAACAAAGTTAAATTTAAGATAATGAATGAATAATTTTAGTTCACTAAACTTTTTAAAAGATAATTAAGACGCAAAAATAAAGTAACACAGTACAATTTAGCCTTTAATAAATCAATCAATCTTAAATTGATGTCAAAACTTACTTTAACGTGAGTTTGGTTACGATGTTTCGAGCCTTATAATAAAGCAATATTTTTTTTTTCACACTTCTCAACAAATAAAACACCTATTTTGTTACACTAAAAGGGTTCCCTTTATTTAAAAAAATTAAATAAGGTAGGTCAAACAGAACATCATAGGTTTACTATTTTTATTCCTTTTAAGAAAAGCCACTAATAAGTTTTTTCAAAGAAAAAGATATACGAGCTGGGGATAAGGTTATTGTAGACTTTCAGGTTTAGAAAATTAAACATCGACAATATCAATTAGTGGTGTCTCTTCACACTTTTGAAAAAAGAGAGAGAGAGAGACTTTTTTAAAGAAGAAAAATAAATGGTATGATCAACCAAAACGTGACTTTGAAGGTCTACTTTAACATACATAACTATGATTTGAATTATGAAGAGTAAAAGGGAACATGATTTAATGTGATGATGTTGAAAACAAAATAAATGTGTGATTAATTATGCTTTTAGTTTTCAAATTTTCATCTGAAATTAAAATTCGTTTTAATATCAAATTTTGATATAGATGGACTTCAAATTAAAAAATAATAAATATAGTATTTTTAACTTAACTATTTAACAAATAAAAAAAATTAAAGTCATTAACTTAAAAAAAAAAACTATATTTTTAAATTATCGATATTTAGAAGAGACGAATTTAAAGACTAAACGCCAAACGCGCGTCCGTTGAGAAGCAGGAGAGTTTGGAAAAGTCCAAACGCATGTCCATTCCTAGTATGAACCCACTTTGGCGTCGGATAGCGCCGCACCGCCAAGCCACCGTGTAATCAATGCTCCCATCCCATGATATGACGACGATTGAGTTGCATCGCCATTCATCACATAATACGACGCTTCTCTTTCGTGTACATATAGATTTGTTTTGTCTGTATATTCGTATACGGTATCCGTGCTACAATACAATTTCAATCATTCATCGACTGAACTCACTTTCTTACATACTCTATATAGTTCTCCTCTCCTAACAGCTCTTGCTTCTAAATATCATTTTTTCCTTAAACAATAATGTCGGACGAGGATTCACAGACACAGAAGAAGGTGTTTGACGCGGAAACGGCGTCGTCGCTGGTGAAGGAGTTGAGGAAGAACTTTGGTTCGGGAAAGACGCGGAGTTATGAATGGAGAGTTTCGCAGGTGAAGGCTCTCTTGAAAGCGATGACTGATAACGAAGAGGAAATCGTCGATGCTCTTCGTTCAGACCTAGCCAAGCCTTCACTCGAAACCGTCGTGTACGAGGTACTGTTGTCTTGTTTTCGTGTCTGCCACTGATCTTTATAATATGCAATACTTTTACGTTTTTTATTTTTTATTTTTTATCTTTGATAAAATCTAAAACTTCAAATTTCTAACACATCATCGTTCATTCCAATTGTCTTATTTGATGAATGATTTGTCTGCTTCACGGTTTTTCATGGATGGAGAAGGTGTTATGTGATGTGGCTTCATGGACCACAAACTGCTGTGACTGATAACTGGGGAAACTTTCAGATGACCTTTTACTCTCTTTCAAATATATTTTTTTCCTTTCTAAAAATAAGTGGACTTGCTTACGTTGTGAAGCAAATACTTTTCAGTGATTTTAGAGGCTGGTAAGTAATTACAGATATTATCTGAACTCTTTATAAAATCAACTAAAAAAAAAAAGCTCTCAACAGTCAACGGGATCCTCCAAAATTTTGTAGCTATTTTTATTATCATTTTTTTTAATCATGAAATAAACTTTTGGCACTTTGACAGGTGAGAAGTTCAAACCATTAATTATACGGAGTCTGATGTCGTTAAGGCTCGGCAACTCTTTCCAAGATTCAATGTTCATAGACAGACTTGTCCAAAATCCCTTCGCCCAAGAAGATTTTCGAAAGAAATTCGCAAATATAAGATTTTATCACTTAATATAATTCAAAAGAGGATACTAAAATGAACTATATGAATTATGATATTCCGAATAGATTGTTCTCCAGACACGTCACACAGATCTATATGAGAAATTAAAGCATAAATTTGAACGCAAAATCTTGAGACAATTTGGTCTAAAGTCGAATCTCCGTTAAATCTTTGCTATAAGAACCTATGATCGTTAAGAAGTACAAAATAAAATTTCTTTAAAAGTAGGAACATAATGATAGTTTACCCCCCAATCTTAAGGACAAAGATATTGTTAGTGAGAGACAGATACGTGGATAATCTTCTTTAGACAGTGAAAATAAATAGGTAGACGAAAACAACTTCTAAATGCTCAGCTTAGAACACTTACAATCCTTAGGGATTAATACAAATAATTGCTTTAAATATAATATTTTCCTTCTACTCTTAAGATGTAGTCTGTCTTGCAGATTGGAGTGATTAAAAGCTCGTGTGAAGGGATACTGAAGGAATTGAAGCATTGGATGACGCCAGAAAAGGTACATTTCATCACAACTAATTTCCTCACCTTAAGAAGGCAATTGATCAATAATGGTGATTATAAAATTTATTCATCAGATGGATGTTCGTCCATTTATTTCAGGTCAAAACATCAATCAGAACTTATCCTTCTTCAGCTGAAATAGTACCTGAACCGCTGGGTGTTGTGTTAGTCATCTCTCCATGGAACTATCCAATGTGTATGTCAATATTTTCTTGACCTTGAGTTTCATATATTTTTTAATTAGCTGACATTTTCAGCTCTGTCTTCTTTTAAAATCTTCATTAAGCTAATTTTTTTACCTATCTCTGCTATAATTCCAGTGTTGGCCCTTGATCCAGTCCTCGGAGCTATAGCAGCTGGTAATGCTGTGGTTCTAAAGCCATCAGAAATTGCTCCAGCCACATCATCACTCCTAGAAAAATTGATAGAGAAGTATATGGATCAATCAATTGTAAGAGTTGTCCAGGGGGCAGTCCATGAAACAACTGCCCTATTGCAGCAAAAGTGGGACAAAATTTTCTACACAGGTTTTTCTTCTTTCAGTTGTTCTGGTTGTCTTAATAATTGGTATGCATGAATATATATATATATATATATATATATATATATATATTTCGGTTATACAGCTGAGTCACTTAGTACCTTCACAATTTCTTTCACAATTTCTCCTTCTTCGCCGTCCGATCTTGTTCCTTGGATCTCTTGTTCTCTAGTCCGGTTGGGATGTACCTGCTAAAGATACTCAAATGCCAAAGTCACTAATTGAACCGTCCGGTTATCTAATATGACAATGACAGTAATAAATGCACAGTAATTGCCTTTATCTACCTTTTATCTTTGATCTATATTTATAGTTTTCGGGCATGTGTTTAGGATTAGCGATATTTTAATCTCAATCAATTCCGGTTTAATACTCTTAAACGTAATTTACCTTAATCTCCTTAACATTAATCATTTGGGATTAGGAGGCCGGCCGTCCCGGACAGCAACTTTGTCTTCTGTTAGCCGTCCGATCATGTGAAGTTTGTGGGCTGTGACGACCATCCGGACATATCATACAAAATATATATATATATATATATAAAAGCAACTTTGAAATGCATAATTTGCACATAAAATAGCAAGAGCATTAAATGAATTGTCTCGTTAATGTTATATATATACGTATTTTTTCGCATAAGTAGTTCCTGTATTGTTAGGTAATGGAAAAGTTGGAAGAATAGTGATGACTGCTGCTGCAAAACACCTTACACCAGTTTTGCTGGAGCTTGGAGGAAAATCTCCCGTTGTCGTTGATTCAAATATCAACTTGAAGGTATTACTATTTCCTAAGCCTTTTGTTTCTCAATTACTTGCTACTACCTTAGCCTCTTTCAAACTCATTCTTGGCTCAATTGCTAAAAGGTAGCAGCAAGACGAATAATTTCTGGCAAGTGGGGATTGAACAATGGACAATCTTGCATTTCTCCCGATTATGTTATAACAACAAAAGACTATGCCCCTAAGTTGGTATGATATTTTTCCCATGTGTAACTGCCAATTGGATTTCTTAACCCATGTTTCTGTTTATTTATTGTTTGATGCCTCCTATTTCTAGGTGGATGCCCTAAAGACTGAATTGCAGGAGTTTTACGGTAAGAATCCGTTGGAATCAGAAGATTTGTCACGAATTGTGAGTTACAACCACTTTGCTCGTTTGTCAAAGCTCTTGAGTGATGATAAGGTTTCTGGGAAGATTGTTTATGGAGGTGAAAAAGATGAAAATAAACTGTAAGTTCGCTTGATCTGTTTTTAATTAAATTTAACTTCCTAACCATGGGAATTTTTTATTAAAGAAATGCAATAGTTTTTGACATGGGTTTTCTTATGGTCCCAAAATTGCAGAAGGATTGCTCCCACTATTCTATTGGATGTTCCGCGAGATTCTCTGATAATGGGTGAGGAGATATTCGGTCCATTGCTTCCCATCATCACGGTATGAATAACGTAACATAGACAACCCTTTGTATGATATTTTGAACTTCAAATTTCATCTGTGTTCTTTGATTGCTTTTAACAATACTCACAGTTTTATAAAATGTTTTCAACTGCAAGAGTAATTGACATGTGCCTCTTCAGCTGCAAGAGTCACAAGACATGTCAAGGAAACACTCACTTAGAAAACTAATAATAAGATATGTCGGAGAAAACTTCGATTATTATGTAGATACCAGCCTTTTTGTGGACATCAACAAATGTTACAAGCTAAAGCCGGCCACATGCAAATAGTTGATATTTAAAAAAATTCTCAAGCAAGGAAATATTAACTTTCCAAACTATTTTTGCTGCGTATAACAGGTCAATGAACTTGAAGAAAGTCTAGATGTAATCAACTCAGGAGACAAGGCCCTTGCTGCATATATATTTACAACTGACAAGAAGTTCAAGGAGCAGTTCGTAAAGAATGTTTCCGCTGGGGGTTTGCTTGTCAATGACACTTCCGTACATGTAATATTCGTTCTAACAAAAACATCCATGATTTTGATTGTGCCTTACGATTCTAATCGCTGAACAACATTGAAGGTCTTAATCTGCTTCAAGTTTTGGATTGTTGACAGCATGTTGCTGTGAAATCATATTTTTTCCTAGCATATTTGATATAGTCTTGATATTCGATATTCCTTATTTTCTGTTTTGTATTATCAATTTAAAAACTATACACTTTTTATGTTTTCATGGTGTAGGTTGTGGTTGATACTTTGCCATTTGGGGGAGTTGGAGAGAGTGGAATGGGAGCATACCATGGCAAGTTCTCCTTTGATGCTTTTACACACAAAAAGGCTGTTCTTTATCGCAGTTTTGCGGGTGATTCGTCGTCAAGGTACCCACCGTACACGGATACAAAGCAAAGATTGATGAAGGCTCTCATCGCTGGTAGCTTCCTTGGCATACTTCGTGCTCTTTTTGGATGGTCCTAAGCTTATTTTGCCTCCAAAACCAGTTTTTGTTGATGTCTTCTCCGTTATTGTGTTAGGTGTCTTGTAGTTGTATATTGTGGTAATGCCTTATAGAGGCTTTACAGGTTGTGGTAGTGTGAATATATATATATATAATATATGTGTGTGTGTGTACTATGAACAATTATGCTCACGAAAGCAAATAAGGCAAGCTTAGGTAACACAATCCAGATTGTGATACCGGTTGGGTCTCTTATGTTAGTGTTTGTGCTGTGAGTCTGTGGTTATTTTGGTCTGTGTTTCTTATAAGAACAAAATATCACTTCCCATGATATATATATAGATATATAGACACACACACTTAATATTGCTGATACAAGTGTTTAATAGAATATGAATATGTATTAAAGGTCTCTTGAGAAATGTTCGTGTGGTTCTTTATATTTCTAATTATGAGAGCATTGTTATAGAATTTTACAATGTAAATGTGTTACAAGATGTATCCCGAGTTAAAAGAATAAAAGAAGAAAATAATATAATGAGAGATCAATTTAATCTCTAAATTATTTTCTTCCTATTTTATGCTAAAAAATATTCCATATTTGAAATACCACCAACAAAGTGGTATCAGAAGGCCATGTTCTTGAAAAATAAATTATTTGAATTAGAAAATGATAATTTATTGTAAACGTTCGAGTTCCTCTATTTAAAGGAGAAAAATATATTTTTTTGGCAATATAAATTGAAACATTATTTACTTCTTTAAATGTCTCAAATTTTATACAAACAGAATATGATGATCAAACTACCACAGTTGCACAACACACACAACAAACAATGAAAAGAAAGAAAATCATAGATGTTGGAGTTCTTGGGATGATTCTAAAAAGATTCTCACTAGCCATATTTTCAAAGTCCTTCAAGTTCAAGTTCTTCATCTTCAAACTCAACTCCTAAAAGTTGAAGTACTTGAAAAGACCAACACATTAAAGACTAAAATGTTCAATAATGAGTTGTGAAGTATTTTCTGAAGATTGAATGTGTACTGAAAGATGATTGAAGAATATTTAGTGATATTCATATAACTCTTTATATTTCTAGCTCTTAGAGTACTCTTATAGATTTCTTTAACACCATGTTACATGGCAAATAAGTACTGGATTTTCAATCCTAATTTTTGCTTTGTTTTTCCTTTGGGACTTATAATAGTGCCCTAAAAGGCTTACAAACTTAACCCACTCGTTAAATGAGAAAAAAAGGACTGAATTATGAAAGAAAAAAAGGTGATCGCAGATTACTCTCGAGCATCTAAAAACTAAAAATGCTATAACAATCAAGAATCCTGTAAAATACGAACGACCTCTGATCTTTGATTACTTGTGAGATGTGTCGGAAACACAACTCGAAACGTAACAATCAAGTTTCCTCTGTTTCCTGGTTCTTTGGAGATAGGCATGCCTTGTTCGGGGACGATCTTCTGATAGCCAGGGTGTACGATGTCGTCAAGTTTAAGATTCATGTGGTCTCCACCCAACAGTGGAATCAATATGGTACACCCAGAAAGTGCCTTTACTAAGGGAATCTCAACTCTCAATACCAAATCATCCCCGTCTCTTCTAAATAACTCGTGTCTTTTCTCGGAGATAATAAATACTATATCTTCTCTGTATGCTCCTGGTCTCTCATTCCCTTTTCCTTCAAATTTAATCTCTGTTCCTTTCCTCCATCCAGGTTGCACATTTATCGTTAGCAATTCTTCCTCTCGAACTATTCCCCTGTATATACACCAAATACACAGTCCATCAAATCCTCAACTTGCACAGTTAATTATTACCATACATATATAAAACTGGTTCAAGAACAACAGGTAAATTTCGTGCTTTAGGCCTTAAAAAAGGCTTCCAATTTTTTTTTTAATACTAATTACTTTAAGTTTGATCTTTTAAAGAAATTGAAAGAAGAAAGAACGTTGGCATGGTGGATACACGAACCCTGTATCTGTGAGGACATCCCTTGTGATCATCATATTTTTTTTGCATCCGTAGCACAACTCTTCCAGAGTGCATTCCAGTTTTTTCTCGATTGGTGGGGGTTTCAGCATCCCAGATGAATTGGAATACATGATTGGGTTGCTGCTCCTGCCGCTGCTGGCATTCGTTGAGTTCAGATGAGGAGGCATTGATCTTAAATTCCCGCTTCTGTTCAATGAAGAAGCTGCAGACATAAAATCATAGTTCTTGCTCGATGTCTGGTCGGGTTTTCTGCTTGCATTTCGAGACGAAGAATATATGCAAGGAAAGCACGAACTATCTGAACTTCTATGCCTATATAAACAACATCCTCTTGGACTACTCATTGGATGATCACCGACGTTCCTCCTCAAATTGAATACGAAGCAGCCAATTCCATTCGTGACTTTGCCATCTTCAACAGGTTTCTGGTGAAAGAAACGCCAGGCGAAAACTTTATTAATTATTAGATTCTCTTTACGTGCATGTGTTCATGCATGCAAGAATATGCATTCAAAGAATTCCTATATATGGAAAAGCCATGCATTAAAAAATGATTGTAACCACGTTTTTGTTAACCGATTAACCGTGATTTTCTGTACTAGATAATCATAAACATAACGGCCCAGTTAGAAAGTTAGAAAGTTTTGCATGAAGAAAAAGAGAGGGTTTCTAGATTCTGTATAATACCTGTTTTGTTCGGTTGTGGCCTCGTGGTTTCTTCTTATCATGAAACCATCTTTTGATGATTGATCTGTATGATTTGCAGAGGTCACGAATAGAGTTTGTGGCAGACACCCAGGTACCCACCATTAGAGAAAAAACTGAGAGCCTAAGATGGGATGCAACAAACAGTCACAATCTCAACACGATGAAATTTTGTCTTTCAACTTACGCTTTTATTAGCACCATCTCCTCAATGGAAACCCACTGATTTGTTAAAATAATATGTATTTATATTTTAATTACATTTTCTTTTTATTTTGACGTAAAATACAATTAATATTCTTAAAAATAAATTATAATATGAGTTTTTTTAGAGTTTCAAAATTTTATTTCTTTTTTATATAGTTATTTTGAACTTCATTATTTAAGTGCACTTCAACTTGGTATTTCCAGAATTATTGAATCTTAAGATCTACCTAAACTTGTTAAGAAAAATTAAAACATTATCCTTTATTTATTTAATTAGCCTAAACTTAACTTATTGTATACTACTTTCAGAACCCTAGCACTTAAAAAATATCTTAAAGATGAACCTAAACATCACAAACATAAACAAAAATATTAGGTATTAAATCACAAAATTTATTTTAATTTTCCGCAGAAGTAAGTCTAATTAAAAAATATATTAAATAATACATATCAATTTAAAATTTTAAAATAATGAATTTATAAATAATAAATTTATGAATTTTTTAATTGTATGTTGTTTTTTAATGTATGACTTAAATTTTATTAATTATTTATTTTTCTTTAATAATATATATATATATATATATATATATATATATATATATATATATATATATTAATTATTAAAAAAATTAGTGTAAATTTTATTAGAATTAATCTAATATTCTTACATCTTGATTTCATGATTCTTTTGTTGTATTTATTAGAACTTTATCATAATGTATCACGTACTTCGTTCTAAGTTTTCTTTTCTAAAATATTAGTAAAATTAATAAATAGATTATAGTCAATAATTATATTATACTATATATTATATATTTTATTTAATATGATATAATTGTATTAATTTAAATATAATAAAATTATAATATATTAAACTATTTAATAAAATATATAATTTTATATATGTACAAATGATATTATTTCTAATAATTAATTAAAATCGTATAATAGGTTATACTCACCTTAATGTTGAACCTAACTCATTTAAAAAGGATTTGGAGGTTAGAGTTTTTTTTTGGCCTCATCTGGAAAGATCTATTAAAAGATGATTTTTTTTTAATAATAGATTAGAACTAATCCATAAACCATAGATTAAGTTGATAACTTTATATCTAATGATGAAAATTTATAGTGTATTTTTACGGAAGAAGACAAGTAATTAACATAGTATTGTTATTGCAATTAGATATGCAATAAAATTTTCATTTTAAATATTTAATGTATTTAAATATTTATAATTTACACTTTTGATTAGATATACTTATGATTTATATAACTTTATGTCAGTTAATTTACTTGCTCAATGATAAAAATGATAAAAATGCTTAAATTTTCTTATAATAATATTAATAGTATATTTAACATATTTTTTATTATTGAGTATGTCGACCTTGTTTTTTGTTTAGGTTTAATCTCATCAGAAGTTTCTATTTTTTTTTGAAATCTTAAATAGGTTCTTTTTTTTTTTGGCGTATCTGATAAGTGTGAAAAAGAGTTGTTTTTATACTTATAAATGAACTCAATCTTGTAATTATT